TCCTAAGGATTTGGGACACAAACCAGAGCTCATATGAGATGCCAGGGCTGCAAGGCGGAGCTATCATGCCAGCTCCCTAGTTTTTTTTTTTTTTAATAACTTTAAAAAGTAATTTTGTGGGGCCTGATGTGATAGCCTAGCCGCTAACATTCTTACCTTGTACGTGCTGGTAATGGGCACCAGTTCTAATCCCAGCAGCCCTGCTTCCCATCCAGCTCCCTGCCTGTGGCCTGAGAAAGCAATCGAGGATAGCCCAAAGCCTTGGGACGCTGTACTTGCGTGGGAGACCTGGAAGAGCTCCTGGATCCTGGCGTCAGATTGGTGTGGCTCCGGCCCCTTTGGCCACTTGGGGAGTGAATCGTTGCACGGAAGATCTTCCTCTCTGTATATCTGACTTTGCAATACAAATAAATAATTTTTTAAAGTAATTTTGTGATTTGTCAGAATGTTTAGTGTTTCCATCCCTCTCAGGCTGCATGGCTTAAGGAAGTGTGACTTGCAATTTCACTTCCCTCATTCCTATCGTTCAGATGGAGGTGAAGACCAGGGCAAGAAGCCAGGCTCTCTGGAGACACGTGAGCCATGAGGCGCCAACAGGAGCTGTGCCCACCACGTCCCCTCCTGGCCAGGTCAGCTGACGAGAAAACAGGGGTGTGTAGGGGGTCAGTTCTTCCTGCTGGAGTTCCCAGGCAGAGTGTCCCACAAGGAGCTGCCTGTCTGGGGACAGGCCTAGAAGGCAGAGGGCACCTGCAGGAACTGCCTGCTACCTCAGAGGGGGCAGGGCTCAGCTAGAGCATCCCCCTAAGTTTCAGTTTTCTGGGAACCCCAGCCTTCTTCCCTCACTGGTAGCCGAGATCAGCAGTGGCCAGCTACAATGGGAACTCAAGATGTCCTCTTTGGGGGGGGGGGGCACTCCCACCACCGGGGTTTGCTCAGGGCGGTGGTGGAAGCGAAAGGAAATGCAGAAAGCTTCCGGGAGGAGAGGGCCCGGAGCTGCCTACCGCTGCTTCACCCTTCTCCTTCCTCCTTGGACACCAGCTGGCCTGCCCTCGGGGACAGCTCAAAGGCAAAGTTAAAACAGCTCCCAGGGGACATTCCTCACCCTGGGTGGCAGGGCAATGTGTGGGTATTTTGGGGAACGGATGTGATCTTCCCAGAGGGGAGAGGTGTAAATTCCCAGCATCCTGCTGCCTCCTATCCCCGTCATCTTCCTCCTCCAAGTGTAGGCTGGGGGCAAGGAAATGGGTCCCCAGAGCCAGCCGGAACCTGGAGGAGTCTTGCTCCGGCCTTGACCCCTGGGGAGGCAAACCCAGATTCTTTCCTCAAGACCCCTTCCCACATCTGTCCCCCGCTTCCCCTCCCGCCTTGAAGAAGGTGGTGACCGAGGGACTGAATCACCACCAACAACCTGTCCAGCCGGCAGTGCTGGGAAAGGCCTGAAGACCGGATCCAGGGCTTCTGGAGAGCCCCAGGCCCCCGCCCGGCTCGGCGTCCCGGCCGCCTGAGCATTTATGGTAATGTTTGGGTTGGTGTGCTGCTGGATGCCCCGCCCATGGCCTCCTCGCGCAGGACCTCAGGGAGCGGGCTCCCTGACACCCAGAGGCTCAGCGCAGCCGCCTCCTCGCGCAGGGCTGGGTGCTGAGTGCTGGCAGGTGGGCTGGACACCTAGAGAGATGGGGGTCGGGGGAAGGGGAGCAGGGAAGGGAGAGTCCCAGATCGGGGCGCTGGCCAGACTGGGAAGTAGGTTAGCAGGGCAATGGTGGCTTTCAACATACCTCCCCCGACTGCCGCCCCTCCCTTTGGCTGGGGACCCCTCAGTCCCCAGGGGGAGCCAGGACACACCACATCCTCAGTCTCCTCTTCCCCCAACCCCCACCCCCGCGGAGAAGGGGCCGAGAGGATTGGCCAGTGGCTCCCAAGGGAGTCCCCGGAATGCTGGGAGCCTGGGAACAGATTTGGCAGTCCCTGGGAAAGCCAGGCCGTGGGAATTCCACCCGCGGACCCCCTCCCCAGGACAGGCTGCCGGATGCTGGAGACCCCAGCTCCTCAACAGGGGGCTTTGTGGCTACAGGAACTGCCCTAGACCCCCAAGCTCAAGCCCAGCCAGACTCCACCCCAGAGTTTCAGTGGGCCTGCCTTGCTGCGGCGGCAGCCTGGTGGCCCGCATGCCCCTGCCCTCTCAGACATAATCCCCGGCATTGTACCACACGCCCCGCCCCCACTCCCTCTTCCCTGGTTCCCTGTACAATAGGGTCTTTGGTGTCTCCCGGGTGGAGATGAACTCACGGTTTTTCCAAGTTTAAAAATAGCCCCTCCCACCCCACCCCCACTCTCCTGGCATTGCTGGGGGTGCACCTCAGCCCAGGCTGCACCTCCTTCCTCTCAACCCCGGGGTCAGGTGCAAAGGACATGGGTTGTGAGTCTGTGTCCGGCCCACCCGGAGCAAGGCTGCTTCCCCCCATTCAATGTCTTGCCCACCCAGCCCCCCAGTATCCGGTTTCCTACTCCCTCCCACCTTGGATCACACTCCTCCTCACCAGCTCCCTACAATGTAAACCTCATTTTGGAAAAGCCGTCCTACCAACCCCCTCTCCACAGGCCTAGGCTGGGTCTTGTCTTCAGGTGGGGGGCAGCGGTGGGGGTCCACAGCTTCTGTGATTGCCAAGATCCCTGGATGCCGTCCCTCCCCATCTCCTCATCGCAGCTGCAAACTGGTCTTTATCAGCTTCCTTCCTCTGCTCTTCTGGCTTCCTCCTGGTTGAGGTCCCTGGTCTTCTCCCACCAGCTCTCCCTTTACAATGAATGCACAGCCCCACCCACCAGGAGAGTGCAGCTGAAGGGCCCCCAGCCAGCCTGTCTCCCTGCCTGTGGTCAGACCCAGATCAGATACACCCCTTCCGGAGTGGATATCTGGCCTGGTGGGGTCTCCCGGCTCTGGAGAGCCTGTGCTACCTGTGGGGTAGGGAGGAGTGAGGAACAGTAGTATTCTCACCCCCTTCTTGTGGGGTCAGGATTGGGGGGACTGAGTAGAGCAATGCAATGATGCCCTCCCCACCTCCTAGGCCTATACAACACCGGTGCTCCAGTCTGTGTGGGGCAGTCCCTGAGCCTCCTGAATCCTAGGGGCTGAGGACCAAGACCTCTGCCTTGCATGCTGCTCTCCCGCCCCACTCTAATCCTTACAGTTCTATTTCCCTAGAATTCTCTACAAGGTTCCCCTTTTTGGTGTGAAATCCCAAAGTGCCCCCTCCATGCTGCCTCCAGGAACCCATCTCAAAGCTGCTGGACCCTTGAACTCCTCCCAGTGACACACTGGATGCAGTCAGCCCCAGGCTGCTGGCAGTCCTAAAGGACAGGCTCTGTGCAGCTTGCTGAAACGCAGACCAAGGGATGTCACCCTGGGCTGTGACCTTCCCAGCAGCGCTGACTCCTCCACCCCCACCTGGCTTTGCTGCTCTCCCGGGGCGGAAGGAGAATTCAGAACTGACCGTCCTTGGTGGTTGGCTAGCTTTGTTTTCAGGCCAGAGAGAAGATGATTAGTTAATGGTGTTAAGTGAAGGGAAGGAGGTGGGGCAGGGAAGCCACCCAAGCTGGATGCCCACTAGGCCTGGCTGGGGGCGGGGAGCAGACAGCATCCTCTAACCAGCCCCTCTCCTGCCCCAGCAGACAAACAGGCTGGGCCATCCGCTCCACTCTGGGCCCTGGGCCAGAGTTCATGCCAGAGCTCTTAGAGAAGGGGAACCTGCTCTCTCCCCAGGCCCCTGACCTGGCTGGCTAGGCGGGCATGCCCTCTGGCTAGAGCCCGCTACATGGAAGATGATGTCAGCAAGCTCTGAAGGATGAGGCCAATGTGGTTTGCCGCTCATCTCTGCGTCATCTAAGCCACCCAGAGCATATTCTCAAGTCACCTGGCCATGTCCGACCTTGGCTGCCTCACCCTGCTCCTCCCTGCCCTCTCAGGCTGTGCGGGACCACAGACCTCCTCGCAGAATCTAGATGAGGGTCCCTGTGCCCAGGCTACGTTGCTGGAGTCACCCTGAATCTGGAAGAGCTAAAGCTGGGATTAGGAAAGAGAGAGGGCAGCTGTAAAAGCCCCCTGGCTGCTGTGTGGTACACTTGCCACCAGCTTGGGCTCTTCCTCCCTCTACAGCACCCTCCACAACCTTGGAGCCCCAGTGAGCAGGGTCAGGGGAGATGGGATGGGACAGAACTCAAGGGGGTTCCCAGTGGTAGGCAACACCAACAGAACCACTGCAGTCAAGGTGGGAATCCTTATTCATTCTGGAGACTGGAAACTGAGTCCCAGGCTAGGTTGGGGAGGTAGGAGTTCTCCAGGACTAGGATTGCAAAAGTGAAATGCACCTGCCAGGGCTTGGGTGTGAAGGGACGGCCCAAGGGGTCCCGTCTCCACCCCGCAATAGGAACACCTCTGGGTCTGTGCAACCTGAAGGAAAGTTCTGGCCCCTGAGCTGCCAAGGATTTCAAGGTTGGGGCAGTGCCAGGCCCACAGCACTGCAGTGGAGCAATCATTCTGGGAGGAGATGAGCCAGTCCGATTGCTCTGTGGCAGAGGAAAAGAGCCTGAATCAGAGGCCCCACATTGGCGACACCTGATCCTCTGCTCCTCCTCCAGGAGGCCCCCCAGGGCTCCGCGGCCGGCTGGCAAGGGTGCTGAGTGGCTGGCATGTGCGCCTTGCGGGAGACTCGGGGCATCTGAGCCGGTTTCAGGCTAGCTGCCGCGGCCAAGTCACTCCCGTCCTCCCGTCCGCAGACACCTGTCACTGTCCCCTAAGCCTTCCCGAGCCTAGGGCCCGGGTGGGCAGCTCCGGCCTACCTCCGGCGCTCGCTCCTGGGCGCAGCTCCCGGCTCTCGCGCTGGGGGCCCGCCCCCTAGGGCTGCGGCGCGCGGGGCGGGGGGCTGCGCGGGGCGGGGCGGGCCGGCCCAGCGCTCGGGGCCCCCTCCCCCGCCCCCCTGACGTCAGCCCCCGGCAGCGGCGCTGCTCACTTGGCTCTGGCTCTCCGGCCGGGAAGCATGGGACTTCCCGGGCTTGTCTGCGCCTTCCTGCTCGCCGCCGCCTGCTGCTGTCACCGTGTCGCGGGTGAGTGAGTTCGTTGCGGGGGAATAGGGTAGGGTGCGTTCTGCACGGTCGGGCCGGGAGGGATTCGGCGGGGCGTGCGCGTGGAGCAGCGCGGCGGGCGCTAGAGCTGCGCGCCCCTCCCCGGGTCCTCGACTCTGGGGCGCCTTGCGCGCGTGCAACTCTTCTTTGCAGCCAGTTTGCAGCCGCGATTCGGGAGTATCCAGGGAGAGGTATTGGGGAGGCGGGGAGGAGGCTGCGGCCGGGAGAGGGACAGGGTGGAGCCGAGTCTTCTGGGGCGCCGGCGGACCCTTGATCCAGGTGCTTGCTCCGGGGACCCCGCGATTAGAACCGCGGCGGGAGGCTCTGCTAGAGCGCATCCCCAAACCCTGCATTCCGCTCCCGCCTGTTGCTGGATAAGAGCGCTTTTTTGGCTGGAGGAGTGGACCCATTCCTCCTCCCCCTCCGGCCCGGGCATCGCGCCAGGTTGGAGGTGAGCGAGGGGAGGAGGGACGGCGCTGCCGCCAGAGCTGGGCGTTGGCAGGGGTTGGGGCGGTGTGGGTCGCCTGGGCGTCTTCCCGGGATAACGGATCGCAGGTGGCAGAGACAAGGGTGGAGGAGTCACAGGGTGGAAGCACCCTTAGACTTCTGGGGATGGCGTTCAGGTGAAAGGAGCGGCTGGGCTCCTCGAAGCTTTTCTCTGGAACTTCCCAGAAACTGGGCGCCCTGGGGCCCTGCCCTTGTATGGCCCGCAGCACAGCGGTGTTGCGCGTTTCTCTTGGCTCTCTTTGCCTGGGGCCCAGACGCTGTCCAGCTGAAGAAGGGGAAGGTTGGGCAGTAGCCACACTGCTGACATAGTGCCTGGTGCCAGCCACGTCCCTGGGGTGCGCCTGGCTAGCGCCTGGCTGACTTTATTTCTAGGGAAGAGGGAAAATGGATCTTCACAGTTGGCAGGTCCTGCCCAACCCTTGCCTACTCTTGCCTCTCTGCGGACCCCTGCACCTGCCCTCTTTGTCTGAAAGCCAGCCCCTGAGGGCAACAACCCAGGCACCCCGGGGTCCAGGCAGATGGTGTTGAGTGACATCACCTCCTCCCAGGGCTGGCAGCGCCCTGGCACCGCTGACGTCACTCCTGCCCACTGCCTGGCCTTTGCCCTGATCCCTGGGGGAGACTCTGACCACCCAGAGTGTGGGACACCCCTGATTTCCAGGACGGGGCTCCCTGAGTGCTTGGGATGTCCCCCGACAAGAAGCTTCTTTCTGAGGATGGGATGGCAGGCTGTGGCCAAAGAAGAGGATATGGGGGGGTGTGAGCTTAGGGACAGAGGGCACCGCCATGACGTCTTCCCTAGGGGTGGGACACAAAGGGGCCTGTGTGCCTCAGCCTGGCACATGCCTTGCATTCCCATACTCTGAGCTCACGTGGCAAAGAGGAGGGGCCTGCAGAGAGAGGGGCCTTTCCTAGGGCCCAGTGCCTGCTGGCCCCTCACTGCCCCTCTGCCAGCCCCATCTGGGAGGGGTAGGGAGAGTTGAGAGGAAAGAGCCTTTGGCAGACCCTACGCGGTGGCAGGTGGAACAGCTGCAGTGTGAAGCGTCGGTGGGGAAGACTGCAGGGCAGCTGGAGCTGACCCGGTTGCTGGGGGTGCCCCTGCTCTCTCCCTCCAGGTGTGCCCGGAGAGGCCGAGCAGCCTGCACCCGAGCTGGTGGAAGTGGAAGTAGGGGGCAAGGCCTTCCTCAAGTGTGGGCCCTCACACTCCCAAGGCAACTTCAGCCACGCTGACTGGTTTTTTGTGAGTGTTCACTGCTTTTTGTGCCAGTGGGTACAGTCCAGGGTGGGAAGTTCTGTCCTCCCCCTGTCCCTGCATCCCCTTCCCCGCAAAGGCAGCCCCAGCACCTCCCCTTTCTCCGTATCTCGAGTCAGATCCACAAAGAGAAGTCGACGCTCATCTTTCGGGTGCGCCAGGGCCAGGGCCAGAGTGAGCCTGGAGAGTACCAGCAGCGGCTCAGCCTCCAGGACCGGGGCGCGACTCTGGTGCTGACGCATGTCACCCCCCATGATGAACGCATCTTCCTGTGCCAGGGCAAGCGCCCACAGTCCCAGCACCGCCTGCAACTGCGTGTCTACAGTGAGTGCCCCTTGTGGGTTGCAGGCGGCAGCAGTGGTTATGGTGGTGACCAGTCGCAAGGGCCTCCTCTCACTTCCCTTCCCTTCTAGAAGCCCCAGAGGAGCCCACCATCCAGGTGAATGTTCTAGGTATCTCAGTGGACAACGAGGAGCCTGAAGAGGTGAGGCCCACCCAGTAGGAGTCTGGAGTGGGGAGGTTGGGGGCTTGGTGGGTCCCAGGGCAGCAAGTCTGACCTCTCATCTTCCCCAGGTGGCAACCTGTGTGGGGAAGGATGGGTACCCTATCCCTCAAGTCACCTGGTACAAGAACAGTCGGCCTCTGCAGGAGGAGAAGAATAGTGAGTCCTGCCTGGCCACCTGGATGGCCTCGTTCTTCATGCTGTTCCATCCCCATGTTGTGGGGGCTACATGGGAAGAGGGACAAATGCTGAGGCTGACCCCCGTTTTCCCCTGCTGTATCCAGAGGTGCACATCCAGTCTTCACAGACAGTGGAGTCGAGCGGTCTCTACACCCTGAAGAGTGTCCTGAAGGCACGGCTGCTGAAGGAAGACAGAGATGCCCGCTTCTACTGTGAGCTCAGCTACCGGCTGCCCAGCGGGAACCACATGAAGGAGTCCCGGGAGGTCACTGTGCCCGTGTTCTGTGAGTCCTCAGGCCAGCACCCTCTGCTCACCCCCCAGCCCTCTGGCCAGCTAAGCCCAGATTCTGTCCCTGGACCCTAAAAGCTGCTTGCTTTACCCCCTGCCAATGCAGATCCAGCCGAGAAGGTGTGGCTGGAGGTGGAGCCCACAGGTGTGCTCAAGGAAGGAGACCGTGTGGAGATCCGGTGTCTGTCAGATGGCAACCCCCAGCCCCACTTCAGCATTAGCAAAGAGGTACCAAGGGCTGGTTGCTTGGGTGTGGTGGGGGTAGGGATATGGGCGGAGTTGTTGTCAAAGGGGGTCTGTGAGGGGGGCACTTTGCTCACCCATTGAGCTCCTCCAGAACCCGAGCACCAAGCAGATGGAGGAGGAGGTGACTACCGACAATGGGTTCCTGCTCTTGGAGGCGGCCAGAAAGGAGCACAGCGGAGTATACGAATGCCAGGGCCTGGACTTGGAGACCATGATCTCGCTGTCAAGTGAACCCTACACGCTGCTGGTGAACTGTGAGGGGCCAGGGGCCTGATGGCACAGGAGTGGCTGGCAGGCTGTGGCAACAGGGGACCATCCTTGCCCTGCGTAGGCCAACTCTACTTCTCCTGTGTCCCCAGATGTGTCTGATGTCCAAGTGAGTCCTGAGATGCCCGAGAGCCAGGAGGGTGGCAGTCTTACACTGAGCTGCGAGGCAGAGAGCAACCAGGCCCTGGAGTTTCAGTGGCTGAGGGAGAAGGTAGCAGGTGGCCCTACAGTTGTGGGCCAGCCAAGGGCGGGGGGGACGGGGCTGAGGTGCTACCAGCTTGTGACTTCTCAGACTCTGACTGGTCCATCTCTCACCTCAGACAGGGCAGGAGCTGGGCAGGGGGCCTACGCTGCAGTTATCCAACCTGAGACGGGAGGCAGGGGGCGGCTACCGCTGTATGGCATCTGTCCCCAGCATCCCCGGCCTGAATCGCACACGCCTGGTCAATGTGGCTGTTTTCGGTGAGGCCCTGTTGAGTAGGGACCAGGGCAGCCCAAGTCAGGCAGGGTGGCTTGGAGTTCGTGGACGACATAAAGGCTGCCTTCCACCCCTGCTGCCCTAAGAGTCCTTGTTGGTGGGGAGTGGGAGGAGGATCAGTGCATCTGCCAGCTCATCCTTGCCTTCCCTCTCCCATTTTGCCACGAAAGGGCCCCCGTGGATGGCATCGAAGGAGAGGAAGGTGTGGGTGAAAGAGAATGAGACAGTCAACCTGACTTGCGAGGCATCAGGCCACCCGCAGCCCAGAGTCTCCTGGAATGTTAGTGGAATGGTGAGCCACTGCTGCTCTTCTTCCCTCTGGCTCGCTCGCTTCTCACTGTAATCCCTGCCCTGGCTTCTCCGGGCATGTCCAGAGATCTGAGCCACCTCCTGAGCCACTTCCTTGCTTTCAGGAGAGTGAGCAAGATCAAGATCCGCAGAGTGTTCTGAGCACCTTGAGTGTCCTCGTGACCCCAGAGCTGCTGGCCACGGGCATCGTGCAGTGCACAGCCTCCAACCGTCTGGGCAGCAACTCCACAACCATCTTCCTGGAGCTGGGTGAGGGCTGCACCCCTGCAGTGGCCAGCAGGGGCACCTGCAGGCAGGCTCACGCCCGGCCTTGCGCTTCTCTAACCCTCCTCCCTCTGCCCCCCAGTCAGTTTAACCACCCTCACACCCGAGCCCACCAAAACCACTGGCCTCAGCACCTCCAACACTGTCAGCCCTCATGCCCGAGCCAACGGCACCTCCACAGGTAAGTTGGAGCTGGCAGCAGAACAGGGCTGGGCCAGGGCATCCTGAGGGCCCTGTCTTCCCACCCCTCCCACCTGCAAGTCAGGGAGCCCTGGGCTGGGTGGAGCCTGAGGCAAAGGAGTGATGGCACCATCTTTGTGGAGTAGAGAAGAAGCTGCCAGAGCCCGAGAGCCAGGGCGTGGTCATTGTGGCGGTGATTGTCTGCATCCTGGTGCTGGCTGTGCTGGGAGCCGTCCTCTACTTCTTCTACAAGAAGGGCAAGCTGCCCTGCGGGCGGTCAGGCAAGCAGGAGATGTAAGCGGCCCCTGGCATGTGCCTCCCGTCTCCTGCTGCCCTGCTCGCATCCACTGCAGCCTCCTCCTTAGGGCTTCCCTCTATTAGCCCCAACATCTGCTCGCCCCGGGTCAGGGTGGCCCCCTCCTTTAACTGCCCACCACCCGGCTTCCCTCCATTGTCTCCTCTCACTAGCTGTGTCCCTTCCCTGAGCTGGCCCTGCAGCACCTTCCTGCCTTCTTCCCTTGCCACGTCCTCCCCAAGGTGCCAACCTCTTGCCTACATCCCTCCCCTGCCAGCACGCTGCCCCCAACTCGTAAGAGCGAATTTGTAGTTGAAGTTAAATCAGATAAACTCCCCGAAGAGATGGGCCTCTTACAGGGCAGCAACGGTGACAAGAGGGCTCCAGGAGACCAGGTAGGAGGCAGGTCCCGTGGCCCGTGCCTGTCACACTCACTTCCAGGGATCAGGGGGCTAACAGTTCCCGTTCCCTGCACACTAACTCATCCTCAGTGGGGATAGGTGGCAGGTCCAAGCAGGTGGCTGAGGGGTCCTGGAAGAAGGACTTCACCAGTTCCTGGTTGGTGCTAGCAGGGGTGGGAGGAATCAGCCCCAGCCCCCTGTCCCTCGCTGCTCCCTCGGGGCTGCTGCACGGAGCTCATCAGCTTTTGCTTCTGCCCTCCTTCCTAAGGGCTCACACTCTGAACTCTGGCTACCATTTCCACATGCCCTCCCCACTCTTACTTCTGCTTCTCTCTTGCCTTTTTTTTTTTTAGGGAGAGAAATACATCGATCTGAGGCATTAGCTGCCAAGGCACCGGTGGCTCCCTGCCCTGCTGGAACATTTCCAGCTCCCTGCTCACTTTTCTCCAGGTGGAAGATAGCAAAGACCCTCTGCTCCCAGCTCACCCACAGACCCCATCTCCAAGAGCCACAGGCTGGGGCTAGGGCATAACCCCAGAGGCATTCCCCTCAAGGGACCAGGTAGTTGCCATCTCCATTTGCCCATCTTGGACATAACTGTTCTCTGGACACATAACCCATTCTAGAATACTGGTCTTCCACCAGCAGCCAGGCTGATGGCCCTCATTGGTTTCCTGCTCTGAGACTGATGAGCATTTCTCAGCACAGACCTGCAGCCCGCTGCTGGCTGTGTTGGCCACACTGGCTCTGCAGAGGGCCCCAGCAGTGTCCAGAAGCAGCTGCAGTGCAGCCGCGACCACCTGCTTGCCTGTGTCTCCAGGGTCTCGTGATGTTGTTATGGGCAGGGCCAGGGGCTGGCTTCTTTTCTGTAGTGAGAAAGCTAGGTATTGTTTCCAGGTGCATTTAGCTGCCAGTGCCCTCCAAGGATCCCAGAAGGCTGAGTGATGGGAGGCAGGAGATGCAGTAGGGGTTAGGACGCTGGTTTATTAGCACCAGACTTCTGCTAGCTGATGTAACAGGCTGGGCAAGGAGGAGGGCCCATGTGGGAGAATGGTACTTAGGGATGGGCGCTGGGGCCTGGTCAGAGCTTTCAGGGGTGTGTGTGGGTATGCCCATGTGTGCACACATGTGGAATGTGTGTGTATGTGTATATGCATATATATGTATATATATATGGTTTTGTCAGGTTGTGTGTAAATTTGCAATTTGTTTCCTTTTTATATTACATATATATATATGAGGAAATAAAGCTTAATGACCCTAAGGATCTTAAACTGTTTTTTGAATTCACCATGGGACCCCAGAGGCTTCAGGAATGGCATGGCACGGATGCCCTGGCTCCAGGCAGCTGGCAAAACCTGGCAGGCCAGGAGCTGTGGCTCTTGGCACTGCTGTTGGGGTGGCGGGAGGAAGTAGGCCTTGGCACTCAGCGTCCAACCCCATCCCCGTCCCTGAATGAGCGAGACGTCAAGTTTGCTAAAACAAAAGAAAACTTTATTTAAAAATATTTTTGTTTTTACAGACATGGGTGCTTGAAAAAGCTCTTTAGTTAATTGTGTATGGAAATGAAAAAAATTAATAAATAACATTAGTATAACAGACCTCTAAACATTAATACATTGGCAAAACAATGGACTTAAAAAATGAAAATGCATCTTAAAGCTCTGCTATTTTCTGTAAGAATATTTACCTTCTGTTTTTCTTACTCTTTACAGGTGACAATGATTAAATACTGCTAATATAAATTTTTATATTAATGACATTTTTAAAATAGTTCATGAAAATCTCATCTAAGTGTTTGTTTTCTTTGTAACACTGATATACAAACTGGGACTCCAGCCTGGAGAAGGCACTGAGCTCTCTCCAGTCCCACCAGGCCAAGAATGTCAAAATCATGAATAAGCAGGACCTTAAAAAGAACTGTTTCTAACTCCTGATTCTTTATTAATAAAGGCAGGGACACACACACACACACACAAATGACGAAAGGGAAAGAGCTGAGAACAATGTCATTTGTAAATTTTTTGTTTTTTTGCTGAAGCTTACTGACGTCACCCAGCACCCCACCCCCACTGGCTCCTTCCTGCCACCCTCCCCCAGGGCAGAATAGACCTTGCAGGGTGCCCTGCTAGACAGTGAGGTGGGAAGCCTCCCAAGGAAACCCCAGCTAGGTCTGCAAGAGGAGCGGACAGAAGGTCGAGGTTGGCTCAGGATCCAGCAAGAACAAAAACGAGCAGATCACCTCTCCTTTTTGGGAGTCCCTCACCCCCAACCCCCGCACTGACTTCCAGCAACTGGGCCATGCCCTTGATAGGGAGGCTGCGTCCCATATGGCAAATGGGGAACTCAGCTTCTCACTGGGACCCACCCAGATGCCAGCACACCTTCCCTCCCCACGATGGGGCCAGACTTCTAAGGACTCACCATGGCAGAGCGAAAAGCCAGCACCTGCCCCAGGTGCAGCTACACCTTGCCCATCCCAAGGCGTTCCCTCCTGGCCCCTAGGGACGGGTGACACCCAAGGTAGAGGATTGCAGACTTCGGGATTTCCATATTAAGTCCTGAAATGCAGCTGGGATGCAGTGCTGCCTTAGAAAGGCACAAAAAGTTTGGCTTTTTTTTTTTTTAGTGTGCTAAAAATTGTTTTGTTTTGAATAAAGGAAAAAGATATATAAGGTTAAAAATCTCCAGTCCCCACAGGGAGAAGGCAGCCAGAGGAGGCAACTCACAGCTGTTTCAGCCGGAAGCCCAGCTTGTCCCATTCACAGCCCAGCCACCAAACCAGGGGATACTGCCTCGTGGCTCTACAGGGGGAGAGCACAGTGCCACTCTCACCCAACCAGGAGGGCTCCAAGGCAGGGAGGCACCCAGGGCGCCCTACAGCAGGGCTTGTGTGTGGAGCCTCTGGGTGACAATGCCTCTGGCTCTGCGGGGCTCGGGGACTAGGTAGAAGGAGGATGGCGAGGGAGCAGGGAGAGCCTCACAGGCGGGAAGATGGGCCCAGGCGGCAGAATTCCGCTTATGTCTCTCATCTGACCCTCAGCCAAGTCAGTAGTTGACGTGAGCTTGGCTGGCAGCCACAGCCCTGCACGAACACAGGCGTGGCTTGCCACATTCTTCTCAGGCACTGTGCTGGGGCCACAGCACAGCAGGCACCCCACACAGCTGCTCCGGTGGTCAACAGCTGGCCTTCCCCTCCTGCCTGTCCCCTGCCCCCCAGCTTTCCATAGGACTTGGAGCAATGCGAAGGGTTTGCTCTTCCCACCCCTCACTTGTGCTACTTTCTGGAACCAAGAAGCGTTGGCACCTCTTCTCAGAACCACCCCAGGGGTCCTGGGACCCTGCTAAAGCACAAGGCACTGCTCTCCCCTGTGGTTCCTGCAGGAGCCCAGGCCAGAATGGCAAACACATATGCATGCGCAGTGGGAAGCGCACGCCCTTCCTCCAGAATCTCACTTAGTGTGTGTCTCCAGGCTGCCAGACTGCTTTTGTGTGTACCCTATGACTCCAGTGGTTTTAAAAAGCCGGAAGCAATGCCTTATAACTCTAGACAGACTCGAGGATAAGATAAATAAGATCGCATTGTTCAGGCAAGCAGAACGCACAACTCAAAGACCCCAAAAGGAAAGCATTACATTTTAATACAGGTCTAAAAACAAATCAACCGGACATGGAAGACATGGGCCACCTGTCTCGAGTGCTTAGTATAAACTCTCTTCTGACCTAGAATCTGTCACTTCTAGCCAGTAACTGCCCAGCTCCTGTACATTTCCTGGCAACATTTCCAGGGGCCTCACCAGCTAACCCAGCGTACACACGGCAGGACTCCCTTCAGCTAGGGGACCACCCCAGCCCATAATCCCTGAACAGGGATGATGGGGGAATGAGAACTGGCAGCAAAGACCCAGAGGCTGAGTGAAGGTGGTCACCTGGCGCCAAGGCCTGGGGAAGAAACCTTCAGAGGGGGGTGGGAGACACAGCTCCTGGAGTCCTGCAGAAGGCGCCAAGAAGCCTCCAAGTCCAGACTCAAGAGAGGGCAAACAGAACAAGGAAGCCTGCAACTTTCTGGGGCCTCAGGCCCTCCCGCTATCACCAAAGCAGGCCCACAGCAGCTGGATGGCCAGGGCTGAGATCCCCCTGGGGGAGCTGTGGAGCCTGTAGGCCACTGCCCTCTTGTAAGGCTTGCTGGCCAGGGCCAGACCCCTGGGGTGGGGGGTCATACAGACTTCAGGGCTGGGTTGCCCATCTGGGGGCCATGTTGTTACCCGGCTGTGTATCAGGACAAAGGACTGGGTGGCAGTCAGCTGTACTCCCAGGCACTACTGGCACTTCCCATCCTGGGCTCTGTGTACCCTATGATGGCTCGCACTTGCCTTCAGCTCAGCTGTTGCTGTTTTTTCTCAACTGTTTTCCCAGGCCACAAGCAAGGAGCTGGATGGGAAGTGGGACTGCCAGGATTAGAACCGGTGCCCATAGGGGATCCTGGCGCATTCAAGGCGACGACTTTAGCCATCAGGCCATACCACCGTGTTTCTGTTTTTTTCTATGTAGGGGATCCCTAGACAGGGTTATTGGAAGTGCAGTCTTAGCTTTCTTCCACCACCCACTGGCCCCTACACATTGACTGCAAGCATTCCCAAAGGAAAAGCGCTACTGCAGGGCGAGTTCCAATCAATAAAAATAATGCTTCATACTGTACCTCAACACCTCAGACAGACCACACAAAGTGTTAAGGTCTGGTAGAGTCAGGAATGGTGTCGGACTTGGCTGGGGCATTGGTGAACTCCCTGCTCTGGAGGGAAAGGTTGACATCCATGAGAACTGACTAACCCAACCTGTTCACCATGTGGCTCTTGGAAAGCCAGACAGCTGGGGAAGATGAGGACCTGTGGACAGGTGACCTCCATCTCCCCTCACCACACACACTTTCAGTCCCTTCTGAGGACAGAGAATCGGCTACAAAGGTGGGCGAAGGATTGGAAAACAACTGTCAAAGAACTTGGGAGGAGGTGACAAGTCTCAGAATGCAGGACACCAGCAGCTCAGGAAGGCACTAGACTGGATGGGGACTGTGGGCAGATGCTCCAATGGTCACTGCCTGTGGTCTACCTCAAAGCCAGCATGCCCTCGGCCACCATGGGGAATCCACTGAAAGACAAAAATGGTCAAAAGGACAGTCCTGGTCTCACCCAGGACAGCTGTGTCTGGACAGGTGAGCCCATGTCAAAGCTGTGACTATTAAATGCATGCTATTATTTCAGGACCAAAGCCAGGTGCAGGATAGCCCACGGACAATCCCCCAGTACCAGCCAACCAGCCCAAGGCAGCAGACAAGGGCACAGAGCTGGTATTCCTGGAGCCTTCTGCTGAATGAGCAAACCTACTGCTACAGACTTCCAACCTGGATAGCAGGCTGGAATCTACTGCCTTCCACGCTGGGAGATAGCTGGAAAACTGCGTCAATGCCACCTCTACAGAAGATCTTGGTAACGGTGCTGTAGAGGGAACCTAGAGCTGGCCCTCAGCTGGCAAGGAAGTCGACTGTAACCATAAAGCATATTTTACTCTCCTTTAGGGGAAGTCATTACTTTAGGTAGAAGACTGGCAATCCCCACTCAAAAACACTTGGTCCATGACAGCTAAAATACACTCATACACCCACTGGTCTTGGGCAGCCTGGGCCTACGTGCAAGGAGGAGAGAAAATGACCAAAGACAGAGTGGGGCTAGGGTGGCAGTGTAAGAACAAGATCAACGTGAGTGAACACTGACAAATGCTGCGGGGTTTTACTGTGTCACTGATGGGAGGCACATCTGGGCCGGCAGGTCCCCCCACTTCAGGAAAAGAGGACGAGGGCAGCAGGAAGGGTTAAGTCCTGAGCTGCTGAACACAGCAGAAACTAGGGGCACTGTGGAAGAATCCAGGAAGTCACAGGCAGAGTAGAAAACAGGTCGGGTGCAAGAGCCAAGTGAATCTGAGAGCGGGCAGGGGCAAGCAGGGGAGACAAGGCCGGTGTTGAGAACAGAGCCAAAGAACTGATGATCTCCTTACAAGTGGGGGCTGAAGAGACGGCTCCTGGTGCTTAGCCAAAGGATCACAGAAAAAGGTCAAGCTCAGAGGCCACTCTAAACACAAGAGCCACGTGGAACTTCTTTGGGCTGCTTTCACATCTCAGGCATATCCTGCCTAAGGCCTGAGAAGCCCCACAGAAAATGGTTCTAACCTCTGGATGGCTGCAGACATGCCACTACTCATCAGAGGTGCTTAGGTGCCACCCAGGCCCCTGGGGCCTGGCTCAGGGCTGGCTCAGGGGGTGCAAAGGAAAAAGGTCAAACTGCTCTCAGTCTGCAGCCTACAGACAACACTTGGTACAAGATGTGGGTACACCCCAACAGGCAGCATTTGACATCTAGGAATCTTGCTTTACAGAATCTTCAGCCTGTGGGCAAAGTCTACTCAGAAGGAAAAGGTGCAGTGTGGCCAGATCTGGAAGTGGCTGTCCTTTTTTTTTTTTTTTCTGACTGGCTGTCCAGGCCTTTAACTGGAAAAACCAAACAGACGACTGCACCTTGTCTCTTCTTGGCCACTGCCACGATGTCTGGAAGTAGATATGTGGATGTCTGGAAGTAGAAGCTCAGGCTCCCACAGTCCCCAGTGTGACTGAGTGCAGGTGGCGGTGTCAGGAAAGGGCCTTCTCAGGTGGCTGTGCTTGCCCTCATGAACAGGGCACCATAGCAAGGCAAGCCTGGCTTCTCTCTGTACTTTCTGACCTCTTTTCTCCCATGCCACTCTCCTGACACCACACCACCACCTGCCACAAGGGCTCACCAGAGCTCAGTCCATGCTGGTGCCATGCCCTGGAACATCACTAAGCCCAGGTATCCTGTTAGGACAGCAACTATGGGGCTGACCCAGCACTCTGCTCCTTTCTTGATTGGCATCTTTCCCCTGCCGTCCAGCTTCAGGATGCCTGGCTGGCAGGCCACAGTGCCTTCTGCTGTACAGAGGAGGCACTGGGTAACAATGGCAAATGACAAACCTATATGAATTCTTGTATGGGCCACTCCAGAATACAGGCAGCTGTGAGGCCAGATGATAAAACCGAAAGACAGAGAGCAGCTGAACACCAGGAGAACAGTTAGGAGGGGCTCAAGCCATGAGCCGATCGATCACTGGAGACACAGCTATGCTCCAAAGGCTCGTTTCTATGGGGACTGAAAAACCCCAAGGAAGGCCAACCTGTTGAAGGGCAGGCTGCCTTTTGTTAGCAGGTCACCTACAGCAAGGGATGGCAGCAAAGAACCAGGAGAGAAGATGGATGGCAATTGAGGGACCACTCAGCACTGCTGAAAAGAACAGGACCCGTCTTCTTACTGGAATCGAGTCTTTCCTGTGAAGCTACAGCCACCCGGCCTGCCAGCCTCACCCACCCAGTCTGTGACTATGGTATCATGTTTTGCTGAATGCTGGCTCCACACTATGCCCAGCCCAGTCTTCACAAAGAGCCTGCAGGGGAGAGACGGAGGTGACATGCTACAGCCCTGGGGACACAGGCACAACAGGAAACCAAACAGGCAGGAGGCTGCGGTGTGGAAGGGCTAACACAGGGCACAGCACTGTGCTGCAGTGGGCATAGGTGCTTCTTTTCTAAAAGGCGAATAACCCACTTCTGAAACCTGACTCATGCTGAAAAGGACAATCAAATAAGCTTAAATGAATTCACTGGGAGGAAAAACTGGATAGGTATACTCTTCTTGTCTAGTTTGTGCATTTAAACAGCATGTGAATAAAGCTTCTTAAAAGCTTCGTGACATCTGGCATCCTGGAGACGGTTTCCCCTTCCCGTGAAGTAGAAAGACTCAAAACCTACACCAGAATACACACCTGGCACCAAGGCAACGGATTCCCTCAGATGGCTTCTGGGGAGCACATGGAATGTATGTGAAGGCCTCTGACTCAAATCAGTCATTATGTCATTAGGATCATGAACACATATCTGAACAGACCCAACGTTCCCATGGAAGGGCTCTTTGGAGTGACCAGTATGAGCTGCTAGCATCAAACACTAACGACACAGCAATAATACATCCCCTGCCAAGCTACCAAACAAACTGACACCACCACATGCAATCAACAACACCCCATGAGCTGCCTGGCTTCAGTAAGGCTGGTCACAGCAAGCCTGCTGCCGGTGACAGAACACCAAGAAGGAGGAGGAGGAAGAAGTGGAGTAAGAAGAGGAAGGAGCTGTTAGGGGAAAGGGCAGAGGGAGGGTGTTCTAAAAATATGAGACTTTAGCTATGCACATGACCATCTAAGCCAAAGGGGAGTGTTGAAGCTGTAACACACACTAGGGTTGGGTTTAATACCACAGTAGATGGAAGTCTTTAACAGATTTCTTCCTAATTTGTGCTAATTCCTCACTTGGGATTAACACACACAGCAGATTAGTCATAATCACAGGACATACACAAACCACAGACAATAAGAGACAGACAGACAGACAACAGACACTCAGCCACATCCTTAACCCAAGAAAGTCTTCAGTCCTCAGTTAGGCTTTACAGCACATACTGGTTCTGCTTTCCGGACAATTCCCCAGGTAGGCTGCCACAAGAATGAAAATCCACTCTCCCTCTGAGAGGGGCTGAAGGATACCTTCAAATGCATTCTCGGACACACTAACCACGCCACGGCGTTGAAATCCTGGAACCACAGACAGGATATCCCACTGCAGGCAAGACCTCACAGGGAAGTCTCCAGAAGAGCCTCTGCCCTTCCAGGCACCCCTCAGTGAGGAGCGCCCAGTCATGCGCCCACCAGAGCTGCAGCACGTGGTGGAGCTATGTGCTAGGTGGCCACGTGGGCAGGGGAGGAGATGGACACAAACTCCCGGAGGATATTTTTGGCCATTTCAATATTGTTGTGGGCAATGACCAAGGCTTTCTGAATGTCCTGGTAGGAGTAGCCCTGGCTCATAAGGTTCTCGATCTCACTGGAGAGCTGAGGTGAGGCGGTGGCTGAGGCGGCAGTGGCTATGGCTCCACCAGCCTGCTGACAGCTGCCTGCTTTCCGTTCCGAGTTGATTCTCCGGGGGAATGGTTTAGGAGGCCGCTCTGGAACCTGGGAACCCTCAGTGAAGTCTAGAAGAAACAGAAAAGACAGTATTTGCAAATCTCGGGGGAAATCCTCACACAATGGTGAAATAATATTAAGACATTGTATAGGTTCAAGAGTTTCAGCAGTCTCCTCCTCTTCGTAGCAAGGCACACTTTCTAAATATACCACACACCTGTTCAGTAACAGTAATCTTTGCTACCATGAGCCATACATATACACCACACTTTACACTTAGCAGCAAATTTTCACACACATGATGATCTGGATTAGGTATTATTTTTAATTTGGAAAGGACACACTAAGCCTCTCATCCAGAAGGAAGAGATGGAAAGGAGACATAAGGCCACGCCGCAGTGAAGGAGGCCAGAGGGGCACTGCCCCTGCGAAGACACTGGGAGCCCAGGGTCTTTTCCCCAGCTATTCAAGGGCTGTCTTCAAGTTCCAAAGGGACACAACTCTGACTGCTGTCCTCCCAGGTGGCCACAGGAACAAGTAGAGCAGCTTTTGGCTCAATTAAGGCCTGACAGGAGCTGGCTCTGGCCCCAGGCTGTGTGCATTCCCAGCCACCACCCTTCCTTTTCAAGAGGGATGGGCGCATGAGTAAAGGACCGTGTGGGGCAGAGGCCCGATACACAAAGAGCCTTGGGTTAAAGAAGAGCCTCATTTCTAAGTTTGGTAAAATCCTCAAGTCTGACTCAGGAGAACTTCCTTCCTAGCAAAGGATCCAGGAGCAGCTTTTCTTCACTGTATGACCTAAGTGTACATGGGCAGGTCATCTCGGTGTCAGCATAAATTATAGTCCACACAGCCATCAGGACAGGCCCCATGCTGCATGGAGACTCACTTGTTGTGGTGTCACCATCCAGAGATAACCAGCCAAAGGAGGAGCTGGCGTTGGAGATGTCTGAGAGGGTGCGGCGGGCCAGTACTGCTGGCACAGGTGGCTTGGGGACGTCGTACCCGTCGTCCTCATTTTCTGATTCCTCAGCCCCAGGGTTGGCAGGGGCTGCCGCCAAGGGCCCTTCACCTGGAGAAAAACTTGTCACATCAGCTTCCTCACTTGACATGACTGCACCTCCTACCCCATTTCACTACAGTGGCACTCACTCATCCACGTAGGCACACAATCTTTAATTCAGCCATTACTAAAGGTCAATTGTGAGCCAAACACTGTGAGGCCTTGTGGACGGAGAGAAAAGAAACAAAATAAGATCTGCAATGCTCTTTCCTGAACATGTCAAGGATTATTCCTGCCAAGGTTAACCATCAGCAATGCCAAAGACTTGAGCATACTCATTCAACACTTCTCTCTGTGTTCTGTTTCAGAAGACTGGCCAAGGGGCCTGTATGTGCAGGCTTCTTGAACTTTCAACTCGGTTAGCTAGCTAACATGGGAATTGAGCATTCACCACCCACACATGAAGGAATTTCATCAATGCGATGGGAATAAAGGGGATCTGCCAGCATCACAGGTTCTGGCCATATAAAACAAAAAGGTCTCTCGGCCCAGGAAGCCAGCAAGCATAGAAGTAACAAGCTGTGAGCACAGAGAAGAAGAGGAGGGTCTTTCTGAGCATGGATCACAGATATTTTGCCAAAGAAGACATATTAACAAGAATTGTTCTGCTTGGATCAAGTCTTTTTGTGAGTCTAAAACTCGTATTATAGGCTCCTTCTTAACGCACATCAATGCCCTGGAAGTGGCATAGTGTCTACTCACTCAGTGTGCTGTTCTCAGCGACAGATGGCACTTGGGATTGAATATTATACATTGCTTCATATGTGCAGCTATCAATCTGCTGGTCACCATCGCAGGTCCTGAGTTAGAAGGAAAAGAGCATAAGGGATCTTTGGAAATAAAGCCATATGACCCATGCTCCACCACCCCATATACCGTACTTGGCTCTATCAAGGTCTCCTGCCACTATCACTGAAGAGTAGCATGGGGCCCAGAATGGTAGCCTAGCGGCTAAAGTCCTTCCTTGCATGCGCCAGGATCCCATATGGACATTGGTTCATGTCCCAGCACCCCCGCTTCCCATCTAGCTCCCTGCTTGTATCCTGGGAAAGCAGTAGAGGATGGCCCAAAGCCTTGGGACCCTGCACCTGCACAGGAGACCTGAAGAGGCTCCTGGCTTCGGATCGGCGCAGCACTGGCCATTGCAGTCACTTGGGGAGTGAACCAGCAGATGAAAGATCTTTTTCTGTTTTTCCTTCTCTCTGTATATTATTTGACTTTCCAATAAAAATAATAAAACTTTAAAAAAAAAGTGGCATGAGATTGTCATGAATAAAAGATGACTGTAATTTTTTTTAAAAGATTTATTTATTTATTGGAAAGTCAGATACACAGAGGAGGAGAGACAGAGAGGAAGATTTTCTGTCCGATGATTCACTCCCCAAGTGAGTGCAATGGCCAGTGCTATGCCGATCTGAAGCCAGGATCCAGGAACTTCTTCCAGGTATCCCACGCAGGTGCAGGGTCCCAAGGCTTTGGGCCGTCCTCGACTGCTTTCCCAGGCCACAAGCAGGGAGTTGGATGGGAAGTGGAGATGCTGGGATTAGAACCGGTGCCCATATGGGATCCGGGCGCGTTCAAGGCAAGGACTTTAGTTGCTAGGCCATGGTGCTGGGCCCAATGACTGTAATTTTTTTAAAATTATTATTTTTATTGTTTTATGATACAGTTCCACAGGCAGGATTTCCTGTCCCCTCCCCAAGTACCCTCCCTGCTCCATGAACAGTCTTAAGTCCATCATGCCACTACTGAAGTGTCTTCTGACACTGTAGTAGGTATAGACAATGTAGGAGGAGAGTTTAGCATCCTACTGTCAAAAGATATCCTCAACTGTTTCACTGGGACTCAAGATGGCTGTGATTTTGAGGTTACTGTTATTTCTGAGAAAACCTAACTGGAACAATGTATAGTTACGAAAGGTGAAAACATCAGGGCTTAGAGTTCTGTTCAATTTCTGGCTGGACATCAGGCTGGACATCACTCTGCGTACGTAGCAGGACAAGCAGGTGAGGGATGTCAACTGAATTGTGCAGATGAAGGAGTGTGGCCCAAAGCAGTCATTGTGAACCTACCGTGAACTCTGGGCTGCCTCCAAAGTGCGTTTCGGCTCTGGCTTCGGAAGGCCTACCGGCCTGGAGGAGGGAGTCATATACTCCGCATCCTCCTCACTCTCACACTGTTCTCCAGGTGGCCGTTTGGGCACAGGAAGAGGTCTAGTAGGTGAAGAGAGATAGTGAGGAAAAATAATTAATAAGCTAAAAAACTTTCAAGCATGAAACAAGTGGCTTCACCAAGAGACACATCTTTATAGCTATCTTTATCTATCTATCTATCTATCTATCTATCTATCTATCTATCTATCTATGAGCGAGACACAGTGTGTGCACTCCCATCCACTGGCACACTCCCCAACAGCTGGTGGGTGGGGTAAGGTGGGGTTGGAGACCAAAGTTGGGAGCTCAGAGACCAGTAATTCTCTCAACTGGTTGTGGTCAAAAACCAATTACTTGAACTGCCACCAATGCCTCCCAGAATCTACATTCACAGAAAGCTGGACATCAGGAATAGCAAGCTAGACTCAAACCCAGACATTCCAATATTACATGCAGACTTTCTACAAGTAGGCCAAGCACCTGCCCCACAGTTCCAATCTGACAGTGCAAGATACAAGCCACCTAGGGAACTATCATTTCATAACTGTTAGTGAAGAAGTACACTAAGCCAAAGCTCATTTTGGGGGTGAGAGTTACGGTGCAGAGGGAGAAGCTGCCATTTGCAGTACCATATGGTATTGGTTCAAGTCCTGGTAGATCTGATCCAGCTCCCTGATAATGCACTTAGGCAAAGCAGCAGAAAATGGCCCAAGCACTTGAGTCCCTGCACCTCATAGGAGATCCAGAAAAAGCTCCTGGCTCCTGGTTTCAGATTGGTTCAGCTTGGGCCATTGCAGCCATTTAGGGAGTGAACCAGTGGATAGAAGATCTTCCTCTCTGTTTCTCCTTCTCTCTGTGGATCTGCTTTTGCAGTAAAATAAATAAATAAATAAATAAATAAATAAATTTTTCTAATAAAAATTTAAAGATCATGTTTATGATGAATCACACCAAGACAGGTGGCTGCTATCACTTAGTTTGACTCTCCAAATATGTTTCACAGATGAGGCCTAGTCCTGGTGCTTATACTCCAGGTTTTTCTTTCATCACGAGGAAACAAGTGAGCAAGTTATCTCTGTGACGACATGGCAAGATATGTAATCAATTCCAATTCTAAAATCTGTGTACGGCTTCAAATAACACACAGATTGTAAAGAGGTTTCTTATATATCGCCTAGGAGTGTAAGCAGTTTAACTTTATTTTTATATGAGAAAAATCTGAAATAAAGGAATCTAATATAACATGGTAGTATGTGCCAACTCTTCTGCCTTGGGGAATCCTGCTGTGCTACCTAACCACAGGTCTCAAGCAAAAGTTTGGAAATAGAACACTGCCCACCCACTACCTTCCCCACGAGAAGAGACAAAGACCCAGCTGTGTGATAAACCCACACCTAGAACTGCTTTCTGGAGTGTGAATTCGATTGTTTCTCCTTGCTTCTCTTTAACATACTCTAAGCACTTCAAAAAGTTCAGAAAAAATGGAATAAAAAGCTAAGCTCAAGGGCATTTGTTGCAGCACAGCTTGGGGAATATATATGCCTAACAGATGGGTCCTAAGATCAAGCCCTTCCTCTATTTCCAATCTAGCTTCCTGTTGATGCTCCTGGTGGGAAGCTGGTTAGGAGCAAGTCCTTGAGTCCTTGCCCGCCATGTGGGGCACACCTGAGGCTCCTGGCTCCTGGCTCTGGCCAGGCTCAGACCCAGTTGTTGTGGGCATATGAAGAGTGAACCTCTACATGGATGAGCTCTGTCCCTCTCCTGTCTTTAACCATTTAACATTAAACAAATACACAAAACATTATCTGAAAATAAACGTAAGAAATTTGTTTTAATGCAAAAAGCTGTGGAATTCATGCATAAGTCTTCAGAAAATTCATGGGAAGTATATATAATGAGAAATCCATATGCATGAGAAGGATTTTCCACTTTGAAATACTCAACAAGGAGTACCCTCTCTTATATTTACTGATCTCTTCCTACTTACTAGCACTTAGTCTTCCTAACTATAAAACCAGTACATGCTATTACAAAGCATTTTCCTTTTATGTCTATACTACAATTATCACTGGAAAATGAAAAAAAGAATGTTTTTAAAAATGTATATGTATCGGGCCTGGTGGCGTGGCCTAGCAGCTAACGTCCTCGCCTTGAACGCCCGGAATCCCATATGGGCACCGGTTCTAATCCCAGTGGCCCCGCTTCCCATCCAGCTCCCTGTTTGTGGCCTGGGAAAGCAGTCGAGGACGGCCCAAAGCTTTGGGACCCTGCACCCTGTGGGAGACCTGGAAGTTCCTGGCTCCTGGTCGGATCAGCATAGCATCGGCCATTGCAATCACTTGGGGAGTGAATCATCGGATGGAAGATCTTCCTCTTGGTCTCTCCTCCTCTCTGTATATCTGACTTTCCAATAAATAAATAAATCTTTTTAAAAATGCATATGTATCTTTAAAATGATTATATTTATTTGAAAAGCAGAGCAACAGAAACAGAGTCAGAGAGAGAGATCTCCATCCACTGGTTCACTCTCTAAATGCCTTCAATAGCTAAGAGGGGGCCAGGCTGAAGCCAGGAGTCCAGAACCCAAGTATTTTGGGCCATCATTTGCTTCCCAGGTGCATTAGCAGGGAGCTGGATCAAAACCAGAGGCAAAGGGCCTGCTGTGATGGCTCAGTGGATGAAATGCTTGCCTTACAAGCACTGGAATATCTTATTGGTGCCGCTTCATGTCCTGGCTATTCCACTTTCGTTCTTGGCCTGGAAAATCAGTGGAGGATGGCCCAAAGCCTTGGGCTCCTGCTCCTGCATGGGAGACACTGAGGAAGCTCCTGGCTTTGCATCAGCTCAGCCCTGGCTGTCACACCACTAGGGGAATGAACTAGTGGAGAGGATCTTTCCCTCCATCTCTCCTTATTTCTCTAAGTTTGCCTTTCTAATAAAAATAAATAAATAATTTTTAAAAAGAGTAGAGGCAAGAACCTGGCACAGGTATGTACAGCACTGACTCCCCTCGCGGAGGGAAGCTGAGCAGGCCTCCAGGACCACCCCATCCTGGAGGTTAGGTTTTTTTGACCCGCACGGTCACCTGTAGCCGAGTGGCCTGGTCACCAAAGGGACTGGGCAAAGCCTCTCAGGCCACCCGGGGCACACCTTCATCATTAAAGGGTCCTGATTTACAGGGGAATGATGGGATCACATAGGTGTCCAGGTTATGAATCACAGCTGAGGGACTTATATGGATAAGTCCATGACATGTGTATGTAAGTAGCGGACTGACACTAAAGTGGTTTGGAGGGGAGAAGTGGGTCTGATAGCAAAATCTGTGTAGGGGGGCAATGTGGGCTCACCCCTCTAGAACTGCAATCTCTGCTGGCTCACCGAAGAAATGCAGATGGGGTCAAGCTTAGCTGGGGAGCTAAGGGGGCGCCCCAGCTGGGTTGGGGTTCCCACTGGTGAGAACAAGAGTAAGATTGAGGGCAGCAGGCATGGCTGTACATGGCTACAGACTGCACCAGTGTGGGTGTGCACTGGGACTGTAGAGCGACAGATTGGACTTGACTCCAGCCCCCACTGGTACTTGTGAGAGCCAGTTTGAGTATAGAATGGGCCAGACTAGGTCTTGACTCCTGCTGAACTATGGGAAAGTGTGTCTGGGTGCGGATCAGGTAGTACTGGGCTGCAACAACCAACAAGAAACAGAATGGGTCTGACCAACTGAGCAAGGCCATTGTTCTCACCATCACAGGAGGTGGACAAAGTCAACTTGGGCCAATGTCCCACTGGTGTGCACGAGAACTGCCACAGGGGGACCTGATGGAGGAGCTTGGGAAACTCCTTCACTGGGGCGCAGTCCTTGCAGGTTGAGTGCAAGAAGCAAGGCAAGGAGCAGCCCAGACCAGGCCAGTTTACAGTACATGCCGGCATACACGTTGGTCAAGTCTAGGGACAGAGCAGTCTGAGCCACCATATAACACTCACTCGCAGATCTGAGAACCAGGGCAGTGGCAGCCAGATCAGGCTGAAAACCAGCCAGCTCACATTAAGACTGGAACAGCAATCAGGCTGGGTTGGATAGCACTCCACCAAAGGGAGCTAGAACAGAAGGCAGACTAGACTAGACCGCACAATAAGACTGTGGACTGGGGTGAGGAGAGTCATGCCAGCCTGGGTCCAGCAGGGGCTGGGTTTTTGAATCCCAGGGATGGGGGATCCAACAGGACTTGGGTAGCTTGGCTCAGGTCCTGGGGCCCACCTGTGTGGTCGGGGATGGATTCCTGAGCCCTGGGGATGGGGAATTGGTGGGGTGTGGATTTCCTGTCCTGGGCCCTGGGGTCCGCCTTCCAGGTAGGTGTTGCTTTTGTGAACCCTGGGGTGGGGGGATCTGGTGGTACCACTGGGGGACTGGGCCGCCGGGCCCAGGTACTAGGACTCGCCTGCAAGAGCATGCCCTATTGAAAAAAGAGGAGCAGTGGGCACAGGCCCTGTTGTAAAAGGAGAATACGGTAGCACATTTGGTGCTGCAGTAGAAGGAGAACAAAACAAACTGGACAACTACCCAAATGGTCACAACAAAAAAATCTCAGTGAATGGAACCAATGGATACTGGGAGGGTGACATCTTCAGACTGGTGAAATCAGTGGCATTTCAGAACTATCCAAACTATTTGGACAGAACCCTCAGAATATGTACACATTGAGACCCTGGGCTGATATGAGGTGGCTGTTCCTCATCCCTGGGTTCTGGGACATGTGGAAAGTCATGAATGGTTTTCCTTTTTGTTTTTCCCCTTCCCCCGGGAACAAGAAACAGCAAATTTGGAAGCAATGAATTCACCCAATTTTCCCTAAACCTTGATCCTTCCCACACTGATTAACCCTGTAATCATTATTAAAAAAAATAATAAAATGTAAAAAAGAAAAAGTATAGGCAAAAAGATCAATTCCAACTCTGATATGTGATGTGGGCATCCCAGGTGAAGGCTTAACCAGCTGTATGTACCACATGCCTGTCCCCAAATAATCTTTCAATTCCATTTTTAATGAAATTGTTGAAGTACAGTTACATAGAGAAAATCACATGAGAGCACCATAATAAATGCTGGGAACCAGGAACTCCACCCCTCAGGAAGTCCTATCAACAGGCAAAGAACCATTACCCAGAAAGGAATTACATCAATACTGAGAGTTGCCATCACAAGACAGTGTTGAGTGGTATTTTAAGGTGCTGAAAGAAAACACCTCCATTTCAGAATACTGAACACAATAAAAACATATTTTAAAGACATTTTTTATCCGAAAAGCAGATTTTACAGAAAGAAAAGGAGAGACAGAGAGGAATCTTCCAACCCTTGGTTCACTTCCCAAAGGGCTACAATGACCGGAGCTGGTCTGGTCCAAAGTCAGGATCCAGGAATTTCAGGGTTACCACATGGGTGTAGAAGCCCAAGGACTTGAGCTACCCTCCACTGCCTTCTCAGGCCACAAGCAAGAAGCTGGGTCAAAACTGCAGCAGCCAAGACATGAGTTAGCACCAAGTGGGATGCTAATGCTGCAAACAAAGGATTAGCTTGTATGCCATCGCTCCAACCCCAAACACATTTTCTATTGCAAACTAAAACAAGCAGCCCACATTGCAGCATAACAAGTACAGTTGCTCCCTGCAGCACAGACAATACCATATAGGAATCAGTTTGTGTCTCAGTTGTCTCACTTTCAATGAGTTTCCTGCTAGTGCTGAACCAATGAAATGTGATCCAAGTATTTAGGTCCCTGCCACCCATATGGGAGAGCTGGTTGGAGTTCCAGGCTCCTGCTTTCCACCTAGGTTAGCCTTGGTCATTGCGGCCATCTGTGGAATGAACAAGTGGATGGAAAATCTCTCTCGTTCTAATTTTGACTTTCAAATAAGTAAAAAATCTTTGTATCTTCAGTCAAAATTAATCTGAATCCAGAGAGAAGATAACACACACTCACACTTTCATGCCCAGGAAAGTGTTTTGGGCAGCTGAACAGAGTCCAGGTGGCAAAGCCGGAAGAAATAAGCAGCTCCAGAGGACACCCTTGTGGAAAATCTAAATACCCAGCAAATGTTCAGTGGTATTGATTGAAAAGGGGACGAACTGGGATTTCAAGGATAACTGTTAAAGAGATGGATCAGGGCCAGCAGTGTGGTACAGCAGGTGAAGCGAATGTTCCAACATCACCGTGCTGGGTTGAGTCCCAAATGCTGTTTTTGATCCAGTTCCCTCCTAAAGCACTTGGGAAAGAAGTGGACAATGGGGGCCTGGCACAGTAGCCTAGTGGCTAAAGTCCTCACTTTGCATGTACCAGGATCCCACATGCATGCTGGTTCATATTCTGGCTGTTCCATTTCCCATCCAGCTCCCTGCTTGTGGCCTGGGAAAGTGGTCAAGGATGACCTAAAGCCTTGGGACCCTGCACCCACATAGGAGACCCAGAAGAAGTTCCTGGCTCCTGGCTTCACATCGGCACAGCTCTGACCAATGCGGCCACTTGGGGAGTGATTCATCAGATGGAAGATCCTTCTCTCTGTCTCTCCTCCTCTCTGTATATCTGACTTTCCAATAAAAATAAATAAATCTTTAAAAAAAAAAAAGAAGTGGACAACAATCCAAATTAGTCAGGCCCTTGTCATCCACATGGGAGACTCAGGCAAAAAGAAGCCAACATAAATTTAACAACCTTGTATCAGTTACCTGAACATCGTGAACAAACCTGACCTCACTGACATATTCAAACGTACGATGCCAGGCCCAAAGCACTCTTATAAAATAGATGGTATACATTTCCAAATTCACCATGAACTAGTCAGAAAATGTTGGCAGAAGGAGAACTACAGAATCTCTAGAACTTTAAAAATTAGGCAGCTATGGGCTAGTGCCATAGCATGTCAGGCTAAGCCTCAGCCCTCAAGTGCCAGGATCCCATGAGTGTCGGTCCATGTCCTGGCTGCTCCAGTTCCCATCCAGGAGGATGGTCCAAATGCTTGGAACCCTGCACCTGACTGGGAGACCCACTAGACACTCCTGGCTTCAAATCACCTCAGCTCCAGCTATTATGCCCACTTGTGGAGTGAACCAGCAGACAGAAAATCTTTCCATCTCTTCTCTATGTAAATCTGCCTTTCCAATAAAAGGATCTTTCAAAAGAAGAAGATAGAATAAATAAATAAAGATTAAAAAAAACCCTAACAACAAAAACTGCTTCTTTGAAAAGATTAATAAGATTGACACACCTAAACAAGACAGATCTATATATATATGTATACAGAAAAAAGAATGGAAGAAAATCTCCCAAAACACAATTATGTCTACTTGGTGTACCTACAGATCAACTTTTGTTTTCTTCTTCAGTCCTCCTTGGTTTTCTAAACTTCCTATAAGTAAGTAGTTAGGAAATACCAACTCCACTCTGTAATGCAGTATGAATACCATACCTGGCAGCCAGAGAATAAATGGCATTGGCAGACGAAGACGGTTTGATTTTGGGGTGCTCACACTCTGGACCTGCCAGGGGGCTGCTATTCACATTCTGGAAAGTAAAGCGGAGTGGTGAAAAAGACGCTCCTTCCCGCAGCCAAGGATTCCCTCCTTCTAAATCTGTTGCAAACAATGGTACCACACAGACTCAGATCCCTGTCAGTGCCACACCCAGGGCCCAGCACATCTGACAGGGCAAACTCTCCTTCAAGTGTTGAACTCAACTGCAAAAAATGCAGTTAGGGAGACAGATCTACAAAGGCAGGGGAACAAGCTTTCTGGTTTAGCTATCTACACAAATACTACTTCTAGTCTACCGAAAAGCTCACTCAAATGCAGTTAGGGAGACAGATCTACAAAGGCAGGGGAACAAGCTTTCTGGTTTAGCTATCTACACAAATACTACTTCTAGTCTACCGAAAAGCTCCAAATGGCCACTCTCCACTGATGCCACCACAAAGCCACAGGTGAGCCACTCTCACTAAGCAGACTGCCTGTCACACAACTGCCACTTAGCTGTTACCTTCTCCCTTCTGTGTAACCAAGACATACACACTCCTGTGAGCACCTTGGCATGCCATAGCACCTTCCCACCCACTGCCTTCTCGGCTTCCAACCTTCCACTGGCCAATTCCTCCATCAATGGCTCCTTTCTAATTTATCACAGCCCTGGGTAACCAGGTTCTGCACCTCAGCGTGTGTCTGATTTCTCACCTTATGTTCCACCTGCTCCTTAGTCTGTTGCCATGCTCCCTAGGGTTCTACACACCCACTGCCCTCTTGCTTAGTTACAGCACTGACACCAACCCCCCAGATGCTCCTTAAATGGACTCCCCCAGACTCCATCTGTTTTGATTCTGGATCGTCTTCAAGGATTAGCACAGCCCACCTCCTTTATCACCTCAGACCTTGGCTCAGAAACACATGCATGTCTGTGTGCTCCTCACCCCAACCCCAGCTCTCCCCACAACATCCCCCTTTTGAGATATGTTCCTGCATGATACTCATCATTGTGGAAAGGCTACAGTTTTTTCTATCATCTGTTTTCTTCCCACTAGAATACAAATGTGAAGAAGGTAAGACTTTTTGGTGAATGTGCAAATGAACCAATAAAAGAATATTCCTCTCCCATTTCCTAAGCTCCAGATTCCTTGCAAGCTTAGAGGAAACACCACTATCCTGTCTCTTAACCTACTTGCCTACTACAACCACATTAATCTCTTTTGGTCATCATTTTCTTCATTCCCAATGAAGTAATTTCAAATTCTTTTGGGAAGGAGTAGTCAAGGTGTCCTAATATAGCTCCCTTCTGATTCTTTCTCCTTTTCTGCTCACAATATTTCTGCTCTACTCAAATGAACTTATTCATCACTCCACAGTACCCCTTATGCATCTCTGTTGGGATTCTGATCTATTTTAAGGGCAATCACTGAATCCATTTTCCAAAGACTTCAGCTTTAGATGCTGCTCTCCATAAATCCTTCACAATTGCTCAGTCTGGAAGTAATCTCTCTTTTCTAAACATCCGTATTACTCACAGCATTTATAAGACATCTAGAAGCTGCCTTATCCGCTCCACTAACACGCACACTTCTGGAGGACAGGGATCACGTTCCACACGGGTCTTCAAAAAGTCCATGGAAAATGTGCTTTATGAAAATACTACAAGTGAATTTCTACACTCTTTCTACACTGAAAACAAACACTTTTTTCTTCTTAGCTTTCATTTTCATCCTCATATTATCTATGGAGTCTATGCAAAATCCAGCACATAAAATGCCACGCAAACATATTCCCTTAACAGGTTAAAAAGTTTCAAAGACTCACCATGGAAACATCCAGACTGAATGTGCTTCCAAGCCTGGAAACATCTGCCCTGGGCTCCATTTGTGAGGGCAATGAAAATGGGAGTGAGTGCCGGTTAGTTAATTCTCTGCCTGTCCAGGGGTCACTGGGGCTTGGGGCAGCCACTGGTACTTTGGGAATTGGCCGGGACAGCCAAGAGTCCCCAGGGCGGCTAGAGGGGACAGGGGGCAATTTGTCCCTGGATGGACAATCACTGGGGGTACAGGGCAGGGGGCGTCTCTGAGGCCGGGTTTCTGCTGCCCCTGAGTATGGCCGGTCTGGAGGCGGTGGTGGTGGAAGATCTCGAAGCGTGGGAGGTATTGGCAGTGGTTTGTCCTTGTGCAGGGAGGCAGAGGCAGTCTGTGGAAGCACAGAGCAAGGCAATCAATCAAACCCGCTTAATGCACAATGAAGCATCAGCAAACTGCAGAAAGTGGTAATGCTTTACCTTCGAAGTGGTTCCAAGGCCAGAAGTACTTGAAGGAACAGATACTCGCGGATGCAGAAGATCAAGTCGTGGTGGCACCGGGGGAAGGGAAGCCTGTGGGGCCATGGAGAACGGAGAAGGAGGTCGCTCCACCTGTAACACAGAATATTTTACCAAGTTATTCTGGTTGGGGGAACTGGGTAATTTAACTCCTCCCAAAGCTGCAGATATGAATACTGAATGCATCTACCAACAGACCAGACAGGCCTACGGTGTCACAACCTCTGTTTCTTTGTTTTTCTTTTTCCTCTTTCTCTCTTTCTCTCTCTTTTTTTTTAATTGGAAAGTCAGATATACAGAGAGGAAAAGAGACAGAGAAGATCTTCCATCCGATGATTCACTCCCCAAGCGAGCACAATGGCCAGTGCTATGCCGATCTGGAGCCAGGATCCAGGAACAACTTCTAGGTCTCTCACATGGGTGCAGGGTCCCAAGGCCTTGGGCCTTCCTCGACTGCTTTCCCAGGTCACAAGCAGGGAGCTGGATGGGAAGTGGAGCTGCCAGGATTAGAACTGGCACCCATATAGGATCCTGGCGCAGTTAAGGCGAGGACTTTAGCCACTAGACCACGCCACTGGGCCCTGTTTTTCTTTTGTTAAAACAGATGTATTTATTTTTATTTGGAAGGCAGATTTTAAAGAGGAAGAGAGAAAGAGAAATAAAGCTCTTCCACCTTCTGGCTCACTCCCTAAATGGCTGCAACACCTGAAGCTGAGCTGATGTGAAACCAAGAGCCAGGAGTTTCTTCTGGGTCTCCCACATGGGTGCAGGGGCCCAAGGACTTAGGCCATCTTCAGCTCTGTTCCCAAGCCACAGGCAAAGAGCTCGATCAGAAGTGTAGCAATTGAGACATGAAGTAGAACCCATATGGCATGATGGTGCTAGCTTATGGTACTACCGCACCGCACCGTACTGACCCCAGGAAACTTTATTAAAAGCTTAGAAACTTGCAGATTCTAGCACTTTCTGCACTACTTCGTGCCACCTTAAGAGGGCACTCTCAATCATAGAAATACCATACAGACAGCAAGCTACAGGCAAATCCATCTAGAAATGGCAATGCTACAAAAAACTTCCTAGCTTATAATTTTCTGAAGTACCAGAGTTTTTTACTCCTCATTTTCATTTGAAGAAAATAAAATCTTTGAAAAATTAAAAACAGAACCCATTTAAACAGTATGGGACAGATATTAGCCCTTGAACGAACCATTTGGGAAAATGTTAAAGCGGAAGAATTAGAGATCAAAGACAGTAACTTTATTGTGTTTGACAAAAAGAAAAAGCTATAGATTTGTAAGGGCAAAATTATCAACAAAATTGCAGCAATTAATCTTGACTCCTTCTACAGTCATAAATTAGTTTAGTTTGGTGATTAAAAGGGACTGCTATTTTTTTTTTTTTTTGTCAATTTATGGTCCAAAAAAGGAGGTATAAAACTGTGAAAATAATACAGGTACAATTATTTATATTTCCTTGCTGTATCAGAGTGAGGAGCGGTGGAAAGCTTGTGGAAAGAAGCTGACCAGAGAAGGAAGGGCAGGAACTTATTGGGGATGCTACCTGGCACATGCAGGTCCCCGACAAGCAGCAGCACAAATGGGCACAGGCAAACATGGATCATACGCGCTACTGCAACACAACAGAAACATGACCATCCCCATCCTGGGTCTTGTCATCAGAGATGGCTGCTAATGAGAGAAGAGAAAGCCTCCGGTGCAGAGATCTGCTCTGACTTGTGCTTAAGAAACGGGGTACTGCAGCCAAGCACCAAGGAGCAACAGAGACAACACTTCACAGCTAGCATCAAGGACTGAGAAAGTCACATTATTAGTGACTTCACCATCAAGCTCTTGCCAGCGATCCTCTTGACCACTTCTTACCTCAAAAGTGCCCTTTGCTTACCACAGTTGATGCTGTCATCCTACACACTTGTTAATGCAAAACACACCAGGGGCCCAGTGCAATGGCTCATCTGGCTAATCCTCTACCTCTAAGCACTGGCATCCCATATGGGTGCCAGTTTATGTCCTTGCTGCACCACTTCCTATCCAGCTCCCTGCTTATGACTTGGAAAAGCACTAGAGGACAGCCCAAAGCCTTGACACCCTGCAACCTGTGTGGGAGACCTGGAAGAAACTCTTGGCTCCTGGCTTTGGATCAGCTCAGCTCTGGCCTTCTCTCTGTAGATATGCCTTTCAATACAAAATAAACAACTTTTTTTTAAAAAAAAAAGATTTATTTTTACTGCAAAATCAGATATACAGACAGGAGCAGAGAGAGAAAGATCTTTCGTCCATTCATTCACTCCCCAAGCGACCACAATGGCCAGTGCTGTGCCAATTCGAAGCCAGGAGCCAGGAACTTCTTCCAGGTCTCCCACACAGGTGCAGGGTCCCAAGGCTTTGGGCTGTCCTCAAGTGCTTTCCCAGGCCACAAGCAGGGAGCTGGATGGGAAGTGGGGCTGCTGGGATTAGAACCGGCACCCATATGGGATCCTGGCGCATGCAAGGCGAGGACTTTAGGTGCTAGACCACACTGGGCCCATAAATAACTCTTACACATGCACACACACAAATTCCCACCAGTTTGTCAGACCATCAGACCTCTTTTGGCTTACAAATCACTCCAGTCTGATCTCCCCCATCAACAGGATTTCCCACAAGTCCCCAACAGGTGTCACTGCAGTTCTGATCACCCTGCCTTTTATTCAAGAAGGTTCTCTGCCTCTCCTTTTTTGTAATTCTGTAGTGCAGAGGGTTAATTACTCATATTCCTCATTTCATGGGTCTATATCATAACTGGCCCCTTTAATATTCTTCTGATTCCAACATGTAGTAACTCTAGAGAAATGGAAAAAAAAATCCCACAAATGAAAAGCAAGCAAGCTAAGAAACAATAGAACAGCATTTTAAGACCTGGGAGGATGCAAATTATCCACATAAGAAGGTTCATTGTCTATTCAGGCCAAGGAAGGAAAGAAAAAACAAAAACAAAAACAACTCATAACCAATTAACCAAAACATCCTTCCATTTTTCAGAAAATTAAGGTTATAGGAAGTACTCTACTCCTTAGCAAAATTACATGGAAGCTAACAATCAGTGAAGCCTTAACAAACTAGAACTGAGTTGAATTTTTCACCTGGACCTCTACAACTACAATGCAAACCGAAGGGTTGAATAAAAGCAATTAAAAAAAGATTTATTTATTTTTGTTGGGGAGGAAGATATACAGAGAGAGAGACACACACAGAAAAAGAGATCTTCCTTCCACTGGCTCACCCCCGAAGTGGCCAATGGCCGAAACTGAGCCTATCTGAAGCCAAGAGCTAGGAACTTCTTCTGGGTTCCCCACATGAGTGTAGGGGCCCAAGGATTTCAGCTGTGCTCTACTGTTTTCCCAGACCACAAACAGGGAGCTGAAAGGGCAGTGACAGGAGCAGCCAGGAAAAGAACTGGCACCCTTACGGGAATCCCAGCTGACACAAGGTGAAGATTTAGTCACTAGGCCTTTCTCCATCCTTGGGTACTGGGATAGCTGGGAGGCTGGATACGGCCTATCCCCTTATTTCTTCCTCCCCTCCAGAAATGCTTGGAACAATGATCATACCCCCTTCTCCCTAACCCTAGATCCTTCTCACACTGACTAGTCATGTAAACATCATCTAAAATAAAAATAATAAAGGTTTCAAAAAATTCACCAGAAGGTTATCAGATGCTACACTAGCGACGAGCTAATAAAGAAAGACAAAGACCTGGGAGCCAAGAACCTGGCAACTCTACCAGGTATAGGGGCAGTGAGATCCACAGGAGAGCGATGGGGACCTCAGGGACGGACCAGGAGCAGTTCAGAGAAGGGCTAAAACAGGATTCCAATGTGTCGTGCAGTATGCACTATCTCAGGACTATCTTATATTACACATATTAATTCTGAATGACTGAGACATGTTTCAGAGCATAGTATAACTGCCAAGTGACAAACACAAACTGAAAACTGAGCAACTAACAGCAACTGGAAAGGTGTTACAGTACAGCAAGTTAATAATTGTTCAGAATATCTGTTTTTCACACACCTCCCACCCCAACCCCACCCCAGGCAACTCTGCTTTCAGTATAGCTTCTAAACTAGCTTCCTGCTAATGAGTGTGGGAAACAGCAGGTGCCTGAGTTCTTGCTATCTACATAGGAGACCCACATGGAACTTCTGATTCTTGGCATTTGTGAAAAGAACCAGAAGATGGAGGCGCCTGCTCGCTCTCTTGTTTCTTTCTCTTCGCTCTGGTATTCTATCATTCAAATCAGAAAACAAACCTTAAAAAGAAATTGGGGGTTGGCTGTTGGCAGGTCCCAGGCCAGGTTGGACTCCATGCCCAGAGCCCTGATTCCAGCTGTCCCCAGGCCTGCCTGATCTCCAGAGGTTATTCCCTTCCTGGTGAGTACACTGAGAGGGGAATTCCGGAGAACAAGGTGGGCCCAGCCCCACCCGCCGCCAACAACCCCAAGCTCTGGAGCTCTGGGGTCTTGCGAGTATGAATTGCTGCCTAGGTACCTTCATGTTGAGCCCACTGTGCTTTTGGGTTGCAAATCAATCCTGAAGACTCCCAACAACAGAGTAACTTTTCCTTTGAAGGTATGCAAGGGTAATGAGACCTGGTGGTTTGGACCAGATGATCTTTATGGGTCAGATTGCTATACCAGCCTCCTTTGAGTCCTGTATAGAATCTGTTATCACTGAACAATGCTGACCACCACACACCAGTCCATGCAAAAGCTAAGGCTGGTGGCTTGTCTAGCAGGGCCAAGATCCTAGTACCTGACATAGTGATGGATCAGAAGATGGGTCACATTAGGCAGGGCCATGACATTAGCCAGCACACAGCAGAACCTTATCCGGGGGCAGATTCTGTGGAGGATGTGTGGGCCAAACCCTGTAGAAATACTAGTCCCATTGGTTAGCTCAAGAGTTGGGGTGGTAATGGTCTAAGTTAGATGTGACCAAGGAGCCTGCCATCACTCACGGGTAAAGGCACCAACAAGTCTGGACTGGTCAAGGCAGCAGCATCTGAATGTGCATCCTACGTAGGGTGTGGGGTGGG